TCCAAATTGCACTATAACCATGTAGATAACAAGAATCTGGTCTTAGGTGTGGGGAATACTCTTCCTTTAATAATAATAATTAAAAAAAAATGTCTATTGTATTAACTTAGAGAAAGTAAAATGTGTATCACACTGACATTCTAAAATAATAAAAAATTAAGACCACACTAGTTATAAACAGTGCCTTGTTTTCAAAAAAGAAAAATTTAAATACTCAGGCACTAAGCATTAGACTACCTGGAACTCTAGGATTAAGTCTAGTGCCATAATCCTTATTCAAAAGTAGCAACACAGTAATAGTGAATAAACCCAGATATTCACCAGTTAAAATTATGAATTGAAGTGTATCAATATCAGATCTTTATCATGAAGAGGTTGATGCCAGATGACAAGACTGGTTTTTCCAAAGTTTGATGCTCAGAATATGGCAGCCTCATGAATAATTGGTAATCATTCTTTAAGACTGATACTTGTAATCAGTTTAGGAAGCAAAAGAATCCACACAAAGTGTGAGGATGCTAGGAAGCAGAGAGCAACAGAGTATCATGTCAGCATTTCTCTTTTACTCAAAATATCTTCTGTAGTTATGTTGTTCTAGAAGAGATTAATGAACCATGGATAATGAATGACCAAGGACTATTCATCTTCAGATTTTTTTAATTGAAACATCCACTGGGCTTTAAATAACAGATACAAAAAAAAAAAAAAAAACCTTTGGATCAGAAAGTGCTGTGCTTTCTCTTTTGTTAAGAAACCAGAGGGTCACTGAATTTGCCTTAGAAACTAGTTGTTCTTTGTGGTTGGAACTAAGTAACTTACTTGCCCATGTACAAGATGCAGAACTCTTTGCTGCAACCCATGCCATTTTTACTGTAGAAATTGAACCTGTGCCATAAAGACACAGTACTAATCCATAAATCTTATCTATCATAAAAGTAGCAAATATGGCAAGTGGCAAGGCAAGATAAAATTAAGGAAAGTGAATAACTTACCAAATAAGAATCTGTTATTCCAGAGAATTCTCATTTTGATTTGAAGAAGAGATTGAATTTTTACCTCACACCTTATAACAGAAAGTAGCAGCAGACCCACTATTACATACTGTACTAACGGGATAAGATACAACTCTTAACTTTGCATAATCTGTGTAAAAAAGATATGCTTGACATTTGTGGAATGTCATTTCTCTTTATAGAATTATAGGCAAGATTTCTCCAATAAAACTTAACTTAAGCCAGTTATAAAACTATAACTTCACATCAAAATTTAAAAAAGTTAAAAAATGGGTTTGAATATGTACATATCACAGAGGAGTGCTTGAATGTTCCTGCAGATTATGTTGCTGGTCAGATTCCAGTCTACTTTCCACCTTCAAAATTGGCTGAGTCATCTGATCTTGGGGTAGATTAAGTTCTGATGAAGCTGGGCAGGATAATGAAGTTGTCAAAGGCTGCATCTCGGTGCATGTTTCTTCAGATTCAGTTTTTATCCTCATACACTGGGAGTCGACTTCTAATTCTCGCTTTCCAGTTAAACCACAGTCCATGTTAGAAGTGCTTTCTGGGTTTTGAGTTGCTTCCACAACAGGATGGTACTGTTTAAGCCTTATATGCCAGGCTAAACTGCACACTGCTGACACTGTTTTGAACTGATGAATGACATTTCTGGGGATGAAGTAGATATCATTGTCGCATAACTGAATTCTAGCATAACGAATGCCTTCTCGCCTCATTTGGTTTAGTTTAGCTTCATCCACCCACTGTACACACTGAAGGGAGGAAAAAAGGTGCATAGTGCTTAAAATAATATGCCACAATTTAGTCAAATAAAATTACCACAAGAAAACAGTGGAGCCAAAATATACACTAACAACAATCAAAGTTAAGCAATATTAAATAGAGTACACCTTTCTAAAATTTCCTGTTATGCTCTGGAAACATTTTCCCTCATATTTTACTACTCTCTAGTAATAAAATAGGAGCCCTGGTAGCACAGTGGTGAAAGCATTTGGCTGCTAACCAGTCAGCTGTTCAAACCAACCAGACAGTATGGGAGAAAGATAAGGCAGTCTGCTTCTGTAAAGGTCTGCAGCCTTGGGAAACTTCATGTGGCAGTTCAACTCTGTCCCATATGGTTGCTATGAGTCAGAATCAACTCTTCAGCATACAACAAGAACAAGTAATACAATACGGTTAACCCTTTCATGACCAAATTATTTTCTGCTTTGAATGTTTATTGATACCATGTGTTTTCAGTAATTGAAGGCATGCTGAAATCAAAAGGAAAAAAAAACTTTGAGGTAATATGAATTTTGATACAATTATGTGGGACACATGTCCCTAGTAGACTCTGATGATAGGATTAGTGGGGTGAGGCCATTTCTTCAGATTCACACAGTTATACAGACCCCTGCCAAGTAGCAGCACTTACTACAGCTGGAATAGCAGTTTCCCCAGAAACCTGAGAAGTTGAAAATATTGGTAGCTGATATATGTCCCACTGATCACGAAAGGGTTAAAGTGAAGATGGTCCATAGACTCATTTAAGTATTTCAAAGTACAGCTAAAATATCAATATTTTTGGCCACATATAGGGCAGCATTTTATCTTCTCCCTCAGTGCCTTTCACTCTTTTACAGTCCAGGTCAGAACAGGACCATCCTAGGCCCACATGGCATCCCAAAGATCGAAGGGACCTCAGGCATTCTGCTTGAGCAGCTCTGCTTTAAATGATTTTCAGCAAGCCCCCCACACATACAGCCTATATATATCCAACTATAAAAGAAAATACAAAGTAAACTGAGTACAGATATTTATTTTCAATATCTCATTCAAACAGGAATAAAAAAGCAAGAGTTATTACCTGGGAAACTGGAGGTTCATGAAGGTCTAACTGAAGTCTCTGTACAACATCAGTAAAATCCTCAGCATGAAAACAAATCACGTCTTTGGTTATACGAGGTTGGTCACTCCTAAGATTAATAAAATTACATTTTTGGGACAAATATCTCACAATGAAAAATGATGGTACAGTTTTCCTGTACCTGGAAAAAATGCTACTGCTAGCACAGAAACAAATGCATCAGTGCCTAAGGACTAAGTATATATCTGTTTCTTTAGTCAACTTAAAAATGTATTACAAAACACACCAATGAAACTGTTAAAAAAATTATAAAAATCAGATTAGTAGCAATATTTGAAATAACAATGGCTAAAACAAATAATTTTATCTAAATTAGTTCTATTTGGAGCCTTCCCACCACACTGTCCCACTATCTCCACATCATCCTATAAATAGAACTGTATCTTTGATAAGATTCAAAAATCTGTAAAATTTATTTGTCCAAGAAAGAGAAAATAGAATTCAAAGCTGAAAGCAGTATGTTTCTTTACCCTCAGGCATCCTCATTTCTTTCTCTCAAAACATTCTTACCATCAAGAAGGAATATAGTGGACAGAACACATCTCAGCCACATAAATATCATACTTTCTGGCTTTCAAAGTAAAGAAAAAAATTGAATGATCTTTAACTTGAAATACTTAGTGTCAAGCCATGACTGAACTATACATCTAAAAAAGTAATATAGAATATATAAACATATATAATATAAACTAGAATACATTTTATATA